TTGGGATGAGGCAATAGCAGTGGCAGGGGGTGGGGGTTAAGGGGGCATGTGCATAGGCCCCCATGCAGCATGGGGCAGCAGGAATTGCCCCCCTGCCCACCAGCACCCGGTGAGCACTGGAGCTTTTTTTAAAGTACAGAGCTGAGGCATGCGGGGCTGGGGGAGTGGGTGGAGGTCAGGGGGGCTGGCAGGGCTCCCCCCATGGTCCCCTCCCCTGCCCCAGTACTTACCAGCTCAGAGTGGCTTCAGCTCCCTGCTGCAGCCACTGGGGACTGTCCGTATCATCAAAGCTCTCCAAATCTTTGCCAAAGATTCGGAAAGCTTTGAATCAATTCAGACCTTTAAATTGGTCCCCTGATTTGATTTGGATTTGGAGAATCTCCTCCTAATCGAATCACCACCCGAAGGTTTGCACAGCCCTAGTAAAGAGATCTGTTGGACTAAATTCACCACTGAGGGAAAGAAACTCCACTGAAAGCAACAGAGCAGCAACCATTTTGCTGCAGTGAATTTAGCCCACTAATAATTGTTGATCCTTATCTGTTTCTTGATAGATGACTAGAAATTGCTTGTTGAACGAGCTTACCAGAGAGAAAAAAAGCCCTGCACCAGCAGTTGTAGGAAATTAACAACCACAGGCTGGTTTTTCAGAGGCTGCTGATCACAATGGAAACCTGGGTTAAATCCTGGTACCCATGACAAGCAAATCTGTTCTAAACAGCTTGAGGCCTGACTCTCCTTTCACAGGGGTTAAACCCCCCATGAAACAGCATTGATTTGGGGGTGGGAGGAGGGGGCATCCCAAAAGGAGATCCCTGAGGACAACAGCTGATTGACTTACCACAATGGAGCAGTATCTTCCCTGCCCTTTGACAGGATCTGTCTTGCTCTGGGAACCAGCATGGTGCAAAGGTACAATAAAGGGTGCTTGTACCACTGGCTACACTGACCAAGGACACTGCTTCGGATCCTGCAAAGGCTGTGTGATAGGTAATTGTGCAGCCACCGAAGAAGAGATGTGCTCCTTTCACCCTCTTCATTACTTCGTCAGGGCAAATGCCAATCCAACCCTTTCCAGTAACTACCTTTCTCACTTTATGCTCTCTCAGCCACCACCACCCCCAATATATTTCTTCTCCTTTTTACTATAATCAAAATGAAAATACTTGAAACAGGAAGATAAAAGTGTGCACATTTCTCTTCATGTTTCCTGGAGCCCTGGATCTCCTGCCTGTATCAAAAAGTTAAGGCACCTCTGAAATGGTCTCAGAACAGCTTGGACCATGGGTGTCCCAAATGACACAACTCATTGGCAAGATCATGGTACTTTCCAATTCATGGTTTGGAGTATTAGCAGAATTCACAAGTATTACTAGGCATTACTTCACAGAGGTCAGGATGTGAACACTTCTGTTATGTGCCTTCCATCTGAAAAAAACACAAGGCCAACCACCAGCTCAATTTTACATGGCCCAGGACCCCACTATCCCACTGTCCAAAACTACTTTACCTTGGAGTCACCCTCAATCGAACCTCTCATGCAAAAAACACACCATGAAGACAAAAGCAAAGGTAAGCACTTGTAACAACATTCT